GTCAGCTTCCTTCCTCAGTGTCCAAGGCCGCAGACCCACCTGCAGAATCGGAAGGGGACGTGGTTGGTGTCGGTGAGTCTTCTGCCGCGGGCTGCAGGTCAGGGGGGAGACTGCCTCCGTTGTGAGCAAGGGTCTGAGCTGCCAGCTGCACGTTTCCCTTAAACACTCTCAGGGCAGCTTCCGCTGCTACCAGGTCAAAGCCCATGTACACCAGCTGGGGGAGAACACAGGGAGGTGGCGGCCACTGCAGAGGCCTGGGCTGCCGGAGCTGGCACACACTCAACACTCCTGTCCCCCCGTGAGCAGCAGGGACGCCTCGTCATCGAGGAAACATGTTTATAAAACCCCGCACTCATGTACCACTGGCCTCCTGTACACGCCACTGGCCAGCACCAATGTGCAGATGACTAGCCTGGGAAGCACGGAGGAAGGCTGGCACCAATGTGCCAGTGCCCCGTCATCTCAGAAAGGGACAGGCTCCTGGGCTCAGCAAAGTGCTCTCCCAACCTCGTTACCAGAGCCACTGACCACACGGCCACAAGGTACTAGGTGTCCTCATGTGAAGGGAACAAATGTGGACCAAGAAGCTCCAGTGCTTTGTTCCTCCTGCTCCCCTTCCACCTTCAGCAACTGCCGGTGTGTGGCTGGGCCCTGGGACGGGCCTACGTCACACCAGGAGCCCAGGGAGCCAAGATGGACTCAGCCCCGCCCATCCCACCCAAGGCCGGACAGGTGGAAGGGGACAGATGACTCTCACTCACTTGGTCAATGTTTTCCTGGGAAGGGCTTTCTTGATGGTTGTGGGTTTCAGGATCGGAGTGACTAAGCCACACGTGAGGGTTACTGAAAAGAATCTAAAGCACATCGGGAACAGCCCTGAGTCAGCGCAGACTCCTGCGCACTGATGCAGCCCGAGCGGCTATTCCGCGGGGCTCACACACACGGGGGATGTTGTGTGAACTATGCAAAGGTACTGTGGAAGCAGAGAAAGGGACCCAATCCGGGCTGGGCTGGGCAGGCAGGCAGGAGTTCAAAGGCATCCTGCCAAAGGTAGGGACGAGGTAAGGCCCCTCATGCCATCTGTCTCGGGTTTGAGAACAAGAGTGCTGACCCTCAAATCCAAACAGGAATGAGGGGCCCACAGGAGGGAGCTCTGTGCAGGGGGAAGGACACTGGAGAGGAGCCCAAATGGAAAAGTAGAGGAAGCGGTGCCTGGGCCAAGTATCTCGCTGCTGGGGCAGGCCATGGGGCCAGCGGGGTGGGAGGTGTCACCTTCAGGGCCGAGTCTAGGTCCCCGCTGGCCTGATGGAGGGCCTGCTTGGCTGCGTGCGTGGAGAAGCCCATTCCTTTCAAAGAGTTGATATTCTCCAGGCGGCGTCTTTTCTTGTCTTTTTCCTCTCTCCTTATCTGGGCCAGTTCCTTTAGGAAAACAGCAGAATCTCTCTGAGTTGGGGATTGAGGTGTTGTAGAAGCCTTCTCAGTCTATACTCTGCAGGGTCTGTGGGACTGACGGGCAGGTGACGGGCAGGTGACCCTCTGCAGGTCTCGGAGGGTCAACAGCATGAGGGCTCCAGGGCAGAGACCATGAAGGGGCTCCTGGTGCAGCAAGCAGGAGCTAGAGACCTCAGTCTCGGGGGGGAGGGAGCACCCACAGTTACCACCAGAACTGGCCATGCAGAACCAGCAAGCTCACTGCTGGGTGCCAGAGAGGTAGATGGACTCCCTTCTAGGGAGGAGCTGGAAGAACATTCTGCATGGGGGATAGGGGAGTGCTCAGTTTTGATGAATCACTAGCTCCTAGTAAAATGTGGATTCTGAAGGGGGAGGGGGTCGTGGGTGACACCAGAGCTGCTGACCCCCCTACTACACTCTGGGTATATAAGGTGTGAAGAACAGTGAGAATTACTTTTCAAATGATCTCATTAAAACATTGGCTTTCCAAATGCTAATAAATCTTACAGATAATCGAGTAACAGTACAGTAATAAAGACAGCATCTGCGGGGTTTGCTTTCCATTAGTACTGAACTAGACTGCGTAAAGTGCGCAGACACAGAGCCGGGCTCTTCAGAGTCTCCACCATCACCTAGAGGCTTCTGTGGTTGGGGGTAGAGCTAGGAACGACCTAAGATCATCTGCGCCAACTTCATGATTTAGAGAGAAGGCCCCACTTCTTACTGACCCATCATCAGCTCTCTGGACCTCAGCTCCTTTACTGTGAAACTAGCTTATCAGACGTGCAATGTTCCTTCCGACCCAAAGTCCTGCAGTTCTTTTACTGTGCTTATTTCTACCCATTTTAAGTGATTATAATTTTGTGCCTTGGCTTTCATAGCATAGTACTGATTATTCCTATGATCTGACTCATGTTTCTAGGCAGTAATGCCACCTCGAACCACAGCAATGGCCCTATGGCAAAATACGACCCCCTTACAATGGTTTCCAGAAGTATACTATGATAAAAATAAGAGAGAGAGAAGGTTGTTTGGATAACTGTCCCTATGAGCCACCTGCCACCACAGCTGGGAATAATAAGGACACCACTGTCTGAAACGGAAAGCAGGTAAAAGACAAGCTCCTCAGACTCCAGCCTACAGTGGCGGAGGTTCCTTGTTCATGTCTACTGGGGAATTATCTCTTCCTGCTCTTTCAATCCGAGAGCTACGGCACTTCAGCAGTGAGCTGGCTATGCCTCAGGCCTCACACCTAACAGGCACAGGTGGCGACCCAGGGTCCCGACACCACGGGCAGGTACCTCTCTGCGGCTGGTAATGTGGATGGCTGCGTGGTCCACGTTCCCGTCGCTGGCCCTGAGGCCAAGCCGGGCTTCCTGGGCAGTGAACCCCAACTGCAGCAAATTGTGAACTTTTGATGGATCAATAGAGAGCTCTTTAAAGAGCTGATGAGCCTAGAGACAGGAAAATAGAAGAGTCATGTAACCAACACAACATTAATGCTCAACACAGAGCTAAGCCAGGAGGAGATTAGACTGCGAATTAGGGTGTGTCGGGTTTTAGATTAAAACTCTCGACCTGTTATTAACTACACAAATACAGACAGACAACAAACACTCTGCTCACAAGACTTATCCATAACATGAGAAAATAGGACGAGTAGTGTGGGAGGGGCATTTTACTCCACAAGGGTAAAATGGAATTACTAAAATCCTCTCCTTTTTGCAATAAATCCCTGAATCTGGGCTGTGCACAGGTATTTCTCACCCTCTCCTGAGCTGGGGGTAGTAGCCACCAGGTTAAGTCCAGGCCATAGCATGCAGCAGAATTGAGGGGCACAACTTCTGATCCTCTCTAAAGACTCTCTTGCCCCCTCTGCTGGCTGGAAGAGGCACTGCAGGGAGCAGCCTTGGACGCCACAGCAGGGCCTGCCTGCCCTAGCCTGCTCGCCTCCAGGCGACTGGATGCCGCACAGAAACTTCTAGCCAATGAAAGTCAGTGCCTTTTAAAGGTTTCCTTATTGTGACATCTGACCTGAACCCTAACAAATACAAATATGTTTATGGTCTATGTGAGACGGGGGGTGGGGGAGAGAAAGATGATCCTCACAAGTCACAAACTACTGAGTTTACAAAATACTTAATTTCTAGGGATTTTAAAAAAAATGTAGGTGGCCCTGGCTCAGTTGGTTGGACTGTCGTCCAGACACCAAGAGGTTGTGGGTTCGATTTCTAATCAGGGCGCATACCTAGGTTGTGAGTTTAACCCCAGTTGGGGCACCGGGACACGTATGGGAGGTGATTGATCAATGTTTCCCTCCCTTCCTCTCTCTCTAAAATCAAAGAAAGCCCGTCCTCGGGTGAGGGTCTAAAAAAAGTAAGTGAAATGGTTACAACCTGGAGGTTCATTTTCTTACCTTATTGAGATACTCACGAGCCTCTTCGCCGTTTCCACTGTGATAATTTCGGACACCTTGAAGCAAGTAGAGTCGTAAAAACAACACCTTCTCTTTCCCACAGTTTCCCTAAAATTATTGGGGGGAAAGATAAAACTGTCTTATTTCTAATTACAGGTCAGGGTTAGTCACATGTGACCCCTCCATCTCCACAGGGGTAATACAGAATTACTAAAATGCCTGCATCTTCACTATTGCTGATGGCCGAGGTAAAGACCCCAGAGGACAGTGACACCCTCTGTCCCACAAAAATGGTGTCAGGACACCTGTCTCCAGCTCTCCAGGGCAGTGGCCCCTCTGGGCAGTGGGAAGTACACAAAACCCGAGCCAGGAATATCTGACGCTGCCCTGTCAGCCCCAAACGGAGTTCAAAAATCCTTATTCAAGTCATAGCACTTGAGCCGTGACTCACTCTTAGGAACTTTTAGTCTTCAAAACGTCTATTTTCTGCATTTTAATCTCCCAGGAGACTAGAATGAATAGTCACCTGCCCCTAGGTCAGGTGATCAGTGGGTTCTACGACTAGGTAACCATGTTCCTCTGGGCTAGACGCTGGACAGACCAAAGTAACAGCCAATCGCCTTTGGGGAGCAGCCTAAACACTGTAACAGGAGTGAACTCTTGAGTTCTAGGACAGGGCTCAATAACACCTCTAACAAGTTACAGTAACATACTTTTATGTGAACCAGTCTCTGATGATTTTCTCCGTAGCAATTTTTAAAGCATTTCTGGGCCAGGTTTAGTTTTTTTTCTGCATCTTCGAGGCAGTCCAGCTGCCCCAAGTGGTAGTAACACCACACTATGTCCAGCTGGAGCACAGCATAGTTGTCCACCGTGTCCAGCAGCTCTCTGCAGCACTCACTGGGGAGAGACACATCAAATGTGTTAAAATCTGTAAGTTCATATATTGATAGTTAAAAAAAA